TTTTATTTGGATAATGGATGTCAAAGGTCTATCAATTACAATTGCATTAATGATAACTTTAATAAGTAAAGATGTTATATTTATATTTACTAGCTAAGATATTTAATAATATTTTAATAATATTATTAATCTTTAATAGTATTTAATAATATTTTATTATATTTAAAGTTCACAAAATTATTTAGATATATTTGAATTTTTTGATGTTTATATATATTAAAATGAAAAAATTAAATTCATTAAAATCATTTTGAATTTTTCTATAGTTTTAAATGCTTAAAATTCTACTAATGACTTGCTCTCATTATTTTGAAAGAATTAATAATCTATTTATAGTAATTATGTTATATAATTCAGTTGTGATTAATTCATGATATGCTAATTTTAAATTAAATAAAATTTGAATCATATTTATTTTAACATCAATAAAGACTTTCATAGAATTTATTACTAATACTATTTAAAAATTATTAATATACAAAATTGGATAAATTTTCATCATCAATAAAAATTTCAAAACCAATTCAAAATCTATTGTGTAATGATTCAAATTACTTTTATTTGTTTAGAATATTTGAAGTTATAATTTCCAATAATTTTTTATATTTACATTATAAAAGTATAAATAAGTAAATAATTTTTTTTTTTTAGATATAACATCTTTTTGATGTTAATAAATAAAAACTAAAAATATTAGTATTTATATTATAAAATATTATATAAACATTAAATATTCCATAATAAGTATTAATTAATATTTATTATTAATATTATTAATAAATACCATAATATAATAATAAATATATGAATATAATTAATATTATAAAATATAAATTATTGATTATTATTATTAATAAGTATTGCAATTCTTCAAAAACGTACAAAAATAGATCCATCATCAAATGATTTGATTCAAGTTGTCTATTCAAGGTTTGATGAAAATCACATCCTTGGAGATGAATATTTTACCAACAAGTCTATTTTATCTACACAAAATTATGATTTTGATGATCTAAACAAGCATGCTATGGAGAGGGTTTTTAAATTTTTACATGTTTATTGCAACACAAATATAAAAATTATGGAAGATGATGCGAACAATGGTAATTAAATAGTTGAATTCTAGTTGCATTGCCACCATTTAAGTCAAAGTTGAAGATCAAATGTCTTACTAAGCTATTGCAAAATATTGCTTTACATTAAAGAATTTGCAATAAATCATGTTTGATCATTACACATCTAATTAATTGAGTTACAAGGACTAGAATGTTATGTGGAAACTACAAGAAATAGTTGACTTTTTTTCCAATGACTATATTATATCCATTATGTATAGAGACTCTATTCAAGTTGTAGCAAAGGCAATTTCTAATAAAAATGGGATTTGCAATTACTATCAACAAATCTCAAGGACAATTATTAAAAAATGTAGGAATAGATATTAAAACCCTCATACTTATATATGGACATTGTATGTTACTCTTTTGCAATGCACTTCTCCAAAGATGATTAAGATCATATCTCTTGAAAATAATAAAGACAAAAATACCACCATAAATGTAGTTTATTCCAAAGCTCTTTTAATTTAGCTATTTTAGTTGTTGTAATAAAAAAAATATATGTTTTTTTAATTACAAAAAAGAAATATAAATGGTTTCATTATTATGCATATATATTTTTCTTTATTTTTATGTTTATTTTTTCTTAGTCATATTTCTTTAGAAGTTATTAATTTTTCACTTAACCACAAATTAAACTTTTACTTTTTTTTTGTAATTAATGACAAAGGTCTGTACTAATATATATATATATATATATATATATATATATGAAAATAACTATTTCAAATATTTATTTAAAGAATAAAATAAGAATCATTACAAAGAAGAAAAAAACCTAAAATTGCTAAATTAACCAAGAAAATTGCTTCTAAAATTTATTAAGACTTGTAATTCTTAGCACTCAAAAAAAATTCTAATTCTTGATTAATAAATTTAAAAATAAAAATAAAAATAAAAAACTAATAAACTAGAATTTTTATTTTAAAAATATTAAAATATTATTTTAATAAATCCTCTTATTAAAATATAATGATGGAGTTGACATATTAATTTTTAATATCTACAAAATCTTATAGTTTATAATACCTTAACTTTGATTCTCATATTAAGGACCTTCTTAAAACTATAATATTACAAAAAAAACTTTTAAACCAATTCTTTAGCTTTACCTTTTCATGACATAAAATGGCCTTCTATTAATTATAGGTTATGATTTTTATGCCTTAAGGTCAAATTTTGACTTTATTTCATAAATAATCATCTCCTTATAATAAAATAAATTATTTTTATAATAATATTTGCATAAAACTACCTTTAATTTTGTTATATATATAATTATATTATATTTTTATCTATTCTACCTTATTTTGACTTATTTATAGCCTTATTAAGGCAATGAAAGTATTTTAAGACAAAAGGTAACATAGAATATTAACTTTGTAATTAAAATTTTTTTGTTAGCTATAATGACTTCAAATCATATCTATTAAACTTACAAATGAATTCTTTCTATATATCTAGGTTCTTCATCATTTTTTTACAATAAATCATATTACAAAACTTTCAATTAGTAATGACAACTAATAAGTCAAGTAACAAACTTCAATAAGACTAGAATCAATAAATATTGATAAAACAAAATTAATCAACAAAGGCAAGACCTCTTTTAAGTTAGGATTTAGATCAAAGATTAGTAAAATCCTATGTTATAAGAATAAATAGTTGTCTTAAGTAGAAGCCTGAAAGGTATAAAAGCTATCTAAGATAGAAAAAACTCTCTCTTGTCTTTTTGAACATAATACTAAGTATTATTCCACTAAGATTGTTTTTTTATACTTATGTATAAAGATTGAATTGAAGAATTTTATAGCAACCAACCAACCAATTTTGTGAATAGAACCAACTTTTATTAATTTTGTTTGTCTTAGACTTTGACGTAATTTTTGAGATCCAATTAATATTAACTTTCTCTTGCTAAGTCCATCTCTTTCATTCAAAAATTCCATTGTCATTTCTTGTAACTTTTCTTATTTCATGTTGTAAATAAGAATTGGATTTTTTCCTCTCATTCTATCTTTGTTGCATTAATATCTACTTAGTTATATGATCTCTACTAGTATTATATAAGAAAAAAAACTTAAGCCTTAAAAAGAGTCATTTAGTATTTATGTCCTCATTCCAACACTCGTTTTTATATTTGAAAAATCTTATCTTATTAAATTTAATAAATAATAAAAGGTTGTTTGTTTATGGCCTATGGCTATTCTCCACAAGAATCTTGTTTAGTAAAATTTTCTCAACTTAAACAAACGTGACCAAAATATATCCTAAAAAGAAGTTTTTAAAAAATATAGAACATTTAAAAATCAAATTTTTTTAGAATAATGCAATAATTTAGAAGAAAAAACAGAGAATAAAATTAATATTAATTAAGTAATATGTTTATCTAATTAGTCTTTTTAGTTTTTTTAATGCCTAAAATAAATTTGTACTATAGTTTTTTATTGTTAGTTAATATTGTAATACTTTAGTTGATGCTTTATTGCATTGTTGTAATTTATTGTGCAATTATTATTTATTTTTGTGATTTTATCATATTTTAAATTTTAATATAATTCTGCAATAAATTAACGTTGAAATATGTGACTCTGATTCTTCAATTTCAAAAAATATGTTTTGCATTTCATGTCTCTAGAGTATAGTAATATCATATTTCTAATTTTTTATATTCTTTTACCTATTTTAATACATATATATATTTGAAGTATAATATGACCAAAAAAATAAAATACCTTTCTCAAATTTTGTCTTAAAATTTTCTCAAATCTTAATTATGATTCAAAAGTTACAAAAAAAGTAATTAACAAATTCTTATGAAGTATATGTTTAGTAGAAATTATGTCCGAAAATTGGAAGTTATGATAATCATTCACACAAGCTTCTTCTATCTAATACAAATCAAATACTCATTGATTCACTTCTTGTTCTAGTAAAATTAAGTTGCAATTTTACCTAAACATTTCCTGCTCAAGGAATCTACTTTTATTATTTTACTGTTGACATCTTCAACACAGAGAATGCATGAGGCACACAAATTTTTCATTCTTGCTAATAAAATACTTTACTCAGCCATTCATTCTTTAAAATAATAACACATTCTTTATTATATAATAGCTGATTTTTTCTTAAGGATTTCAAATAGTAGTACAAGTGATTAATTAATTTGTTTTCCTTTTTACAAGGTATTTTGAACAGATTTTTAGTTAGTATAATTTCTTCAACGCACAATCAGTTTACCGTGAATTGACATGATATTCAATTACTATATTAGAGTTGAATAATTTGTAAACCAAAACAGCAATATTTTGTGTCAGAGTCATCGCATGTTTACTTATTATTTTTTCGAACACTGAAATTTTATGTCGGATTTCTTCCTATGAGTAGTATTGTTAGTTTTCTGTGATTCATGTTAAATATTATTCTTATTCTAATGAGAACAAAAACCCTGAGTTTTTGAAATGTTATGTTATGTTTCCTGAGGAGTGTTTTCCTTTCAGAGTCCACAACGTCAATTTTCCACTAAGTGGCATGTGCAAAGCTCAAAGGTGATTAGGCATGAAAGCACTACACATGTGATTGCTATAACTGGTTCGCTATTGGCCATTTATAATACTGAAATAGTAATAACATTTAACAATATTGTAACGAATAGACTTGCACAATAACATGTTCCACTTTCTTTTGATGTCAATCTTTAGTGTTGAATATTAAGAAAGACATTTAGCCGTTGATACTTTTCATTGCAACGTGCATGTATAAATTGATAGTCTACCTAATGTTTGTTGAATTTGAATTCATTTAGGCATAAAACATAAACTAAAACTTTAGTTATGGCTTAAGACTTATCGTTATTACCAATTAAATAATGCTCATGTACAGTTTGAAGTGTAAACCAGGCAGACATGAATACTGCACTAAATAAGAATGCAGCCATGCAGGCTAACACAATTTTACAGACTGAACGGAGATACGAACCTTACATCAAATTGGAGGAAATGTTACAACTTATCACTTTTCCCAGCTACTGGCTTGGATGGCGCAGCAGTGGTACTACCTTCTTTCAGCTGCTTCTTAGTCTTAGCTACCATCTGGTTGACATTCATGATATATCCATCAACATTGAACTTTCGCTTGCAACCATTAAAATTCATGTACCTAATTTTTCCAAACACAGGACGCTCCTTCCAGCCCTGCAGAAAAAGTGCGGCGGATAAGTGTGAATATAAGGAGGTAATCCTATGAGCCAAATGGACGAAGGTAAAATTTACCAATTTAAAAAAAATACTCTGCAAGGCATGGCAAGCAGGGAATCATGTGGAAATTATTGATCACTTGATGCGGCAGTAGCAGCCAAACCTGATCGTGGATACCACATATTGACCACATGCAGCCAACGTAGCCATTCGGATCCCTTCCATCCAGTTCATACTGCCCAACTCAGAAACATGTACACAGGAGTGAGGTAAGTACTAAATAACATGCCCCAACTTCGCATCTTCAATTGAGATCTCATGGAGGCAAACATTATAACAATATACTCTGTTTTGGAACAGATCCAAGAATGCATTCCGAAAACTGAACCAGCACTTCGGACGTGGTATAACAGCTCTCTGCTAGACCTAATGGTAATCAAAGCAATGGATATCTCATCACAACCAATATAGAGCGCATTAAGCAGTTGTGGTCTCGTGAGTACCTTGTCATTAAGGTAAATTGCTATGCGAAGGGCTTCCTCAGGGGACTCGGTCCACTCCAAAATTTTCTTTGCCCAATACATTCTGGTGACAACCATGATCTTAGAAAATTAGGCAGCAGTAAATATGGATGGTGACGAGGAGCCAGTGACCACAAATCATGAAATCACTGGAACGCTTAATACCAGAATCTTTTTTCAATTTCCACAAGTAATAAGTTGGATCAGTCCGGTGAGGCCTTCAAATACCTCATAAAACCATGCATTTTCCCGTAGTAAACCATCTCGAGCTGGGCAGCATTCCACAGCTGGGAATCACCAAGAATCAAGGAACATGAGACAGTATTCACAAAACCGACCTCCACGGCTGAAGCCGTAATGTCATATGCTCAGAGCCGCTAATTAAAGTTGACAAAGGCGTGATGGTGAAGAGGATAAGCGCGTGCAAAAGGAAAACAATTGAAAAATACCTCATTCTGGACATTCAGTAACTTCTATGCAAATGTAAGAACGGACTCAATCATATAAACTAAGAGTTCTTTTAAAACAAATCATACCTTGTCATGGGTCTTCCCTGCCTCCAGCTCACTTTCACTGCATTCATAACATCAAACACAACAAAAACATATTTATGAAATCTCCTACGAGAAGTCAGAGCTCGCAGAGCATCTGAAAATAGGCGGTAGGAAAATCGCTATATCAACTTGGGGCATAGAGACCAGATGAAACTACAGATATTCCACAAAGAAATCGTCTGATTCACCTTTTCCACTTCCACGTATGTTATATAAAGCTAGAGTAATCATTAATCAATCTGCCAACAATTTGATTCCGGAGTCTTGAAAAGAGCCTCTTCATTAACAACTTACGTGTAAACAACCTCTCGTTTGTCTTTAGCGTGGATTCTCAACGATTCTTGAGCCCAACCCCAAGCACCCTTTAAGTTGTCGTAATTGGGCTGGTAATGGCAGAAGTTTTCTGCTAAGCCACCGCGCACAATCAACTCCTCCAAAAATGCATCCACCGACTGCGGAATAACAAAAAATACTCAACTTCATGTGAGCTCCTAACATCCATGCACGTTGACAGAGTAAATTAGGTTTAAGAAGGACGGAATGATGCGTGACATGCATTGAAATGCACGGACTGACCTTCGTGTGGACCTTTCGAACCTTCCTTGCCTCGAGAGCACAACGCTGTGCCGAAATATGGCCATAATGTAAGTATGGTGAAAGGCCGGAAAGTCCCGTTGGCTTCGAGGGATCATTGCGGTTAACGTAATTCCTTATCCGGCTTTCAAACAAAAGACAACGACAGATATGTTACTGAAGTTCACCAAGTGAGATCGAAGTTAAGTGAGTTAAGGATATCAGTAACTGGAGTCAAGAATGTCTCCTTGTTGGGTTGTCAAACAGAGAAATACAGAATAAGCCTTGACCTTTTAATGAAGTCTCTTTCTAGAAACCAGTTTTAACATGTGACTAATGCGACTGGACTACGTGCAAAATCATGCATTGCCTTAGCTTGACATTAGTAGGCAACATATGATCTCATGAGCAATGTTTGGGTTGATAATTTATGTGGTCATCTTAGCGTATCATGCACTTCACTTCGTTGCACACAACTATTAATTGATGATCTTATGTGTCCTGTATTAAAATTCAATCGGTTGTGAGTTGGTTCTAAAAACTTTATGCATCTCATTGTAACCACAGGTCCATTTTGAAAAACAAATTTTACATTCGAAAGTTGAGGCGGATAAATACATGTTAACAAAGCCCTTCGACTTCCCCGCCAGTGCCTCCAGAGCTGCATCTTCTCCCGCTTCGCACCAAGTGACCTCTGGGACCTCGCTCCCAAACCTAGAGAACAGATGCGTCCTTGAATCCGACCTCAATGATGTACTAACCAAAAGCATGCTATAAGCTATACACAGTAAGCACAAATATTGGACTTCTACAGATTTATTACACTTTCTAAATTTCTAGTACAATGCGCGTAGAGACTCCGAGATTCTTTTCATTAGCCAACCAGAGCCTTAGGTCATGCCAGTATTTGCATTCAATCAATATAGAAGACTCTTAAATGAGAGATACCACTCTAATAAATACCGATTTGAGTTATGAATCCATACCTTGAGACTTCAGCAATCAGAGCATCCCAATCAATAGTATCAGGTGCACCCGCCTCCCATGGCTTGCCTGGGTTTTCCAGCACAGGGTATTCATTTAGAAACTCAGCAAGTTGGTTATTTATCTTATTTCGAATTGTGCGGGCACCATATTCCAGCTTGTCAGAAGCTCGCCAAACTGGGACGACATTGTGAGCATCCACCTCAGCCACCGCAACAGACGAGGCCACGTTTTCGCAGACACCGTTCCTCCACTGCCGCCCAATCCGCAGAGACGAGTAATCCATTACCAGAAGTGAAGCGTTGCACTTCTTCAAAAATTCTGGTATGGTCTCTACTGGATTACCCTAAAGTGTTACATAGGCAGTTATCAGTTGAGCATTGGCAATGAAAATCCTACCTGTGACGGGACATGATGCTCACTCCAAGAGGCACATATGTTAAATTCCAACCCGAAAACCCTTGATTCTACACACTCCTTGTCCAGAGGCTGCAGCGGTGGACTTTAACCAGAACAGATATGGAATACAGGGCAGGATAAGAAACTTAATTGTGCATGCACATAGACTATATAAAGTAGCAGAGAAGGGACATACTCGAAACAGGAAGAAAGGGATGTTAACAGCCTTCAAGTTTTGTTCCACAACTCGCAGTCCACGCAACATGAATCCAAAATGTCGTGCTCTCGCTTCCAAAAAACTTTCCACTAAGTTAAATGCAACTGCCACGGGTACACCCTTCTCACGAGCCTGATGCACAGCGTGCAGAAGTGCCCAATTGTCACGTGACCGATGATCTCTTGACATCCAATAAACCACTGGCCCATGTTCGTTCTCTCCAAGCTTCAAATTCTGAATTCTTCCTGCATGGTTCAAGATTTCCTGATTAAAAGTTTCTGGCATACACGCTGTACACGGGCCTACGAAGAATGCCCATCCACAGATGAACGAGATAAACAGTGTTGCACACCTAGCAGATCGAGACTGATGGAGGGCAACAATTTGTGGCAAGAGAGGGCAACGTACCAGGATGCACTCCAAGGCTAAGAGGAGGTCGGCGTTCGCTATTAGAAGATGCGGCGGCAGCAGCATCTTTACCCAATTTTTCCACTCTAGATTCTGTAACCTTGTCTTCTTCCGTAACTGTAGAGGAAGGCTTCGGTCTCTTTCTACTAAGCTCTGAAACCTCACCTTCCTCCTCAACCTTAGGAGGCTTCAAACTTCTACCTTTGGGTTCAGAGTGCACTTCTTCCTTGACCACGGATAAAGCCTTCAATTTCTTTTTGGGAGGCATCTCTTTGGACGATTTTCGGACTGCAGAGCAAGTCACGCTTCTTCTGACTTCAAATACAGAATGCGTCCTGAAACCAACAGAGTAGAATTCTCTTGCGTAAGTTGCGAGGGACTGTACCGTGTTGGATTTAAACGCTGCAGGCCCATGGAGACATGGCTTCGAGAACAGAGTGAGTGCGCGCTTCTCTGTGTAAAATACACTCGTACGGAAGGTTGCTGCATTCCATCTGCTTGAAAAATTAGCACACCCCGAGTACAACGTCACAGAGCGCATCACATGTGTAACCCTGGAACCATGCAAATCCCTCATGCAATCTACTTCGCAGCTCTCATGGAATCAGTAGCTCGTCTCACATCCGGAGTTGAGAACTCGGGAACTAGAACTCAGGTAGCCGAGCACTGACAGAGCTGCTGCACATATTCGTAAATTCTAAAGGTTCAGGACTAACCACAGCCCCGCTGAGGACATGTGCGGCGTCTCCGAAATAAACAATTGAAAAGAGCTTGGGATAGCACAATGTGTAGCAGCATCTTCAATTTTCAAAAATACTATAAGAAAATCCGCATCAAAGCGTAACTTAACCCTCAGCACTGACATTAAATCTAAACCGCGCAGAGGCGACAATAACGAGCTACACGACACAAAGCAAAAAGGAATGCAGAGTTATTTGTTCATCAGGAACGACGGTTTACCACGTCCACAGCCCCACCCCAAAACATTGCGCAACTGCAACAGAATACCTTACTGGAGGAATGCCTTTCCTGCTCAAAACCCAAAATCACCTTTCCAAAGCCCCTCGACCCATGTGGCTACCTCCGAATCATCTGCCACGTACCTTACTCCAGTTCAAAATCAAGCCCCAATCCGTTGTGCACTGACACAAAAGCGACGGTTTAGAAGATCAATCCAAAGCGCGTGTCGCAAGCTTGTCCCCGAAGTCCTCGAGCATGAGGACTCGCGACCCAATTATGGAAAGAGGGCGGTGAACTTGAGGGGAAAGTTGGCGCCATAGCTGGTGGCTAGAAGCTGGCCACCAATGCTGCTGCTGGTAAAGAACCTCCAGTAAAGACTTCTTGCCCAATTCAAGTTCCAGATTTCCAGTTACTAAACGCTGCATTAAGTGTTAACATCGCCGGCCGACGACTCTCGAATGGCGAACCGAATTCGTCCCCTTTCACTTTCGTCGTCTTCCAGACGTACCATGGTCCTGCAACTGAAGCACCAACAACGGTTTCCGTTTTCCGCAGATCAATTACTCCGTCAATTCATTTCTTTAGTATTCTGTTTTTATTTTATTTTATTCCTCAGAATACTAGCCTTCGATATGTTAAAAAAAAAAAAAAAAAAAAAAAAAAAATTGTTGATAGCGTTGATAATGCAAAATTCTTTAGACAAAAAACAGCCTGCAACCAGATTGTCCAACTCATGGTTTTACATTATTTATTGGATTCTATCAAAAGTAACTTCAAATCATCATAAATTTTATTTTTAAAGTGAAAAATGATTTTTATTTTAACCTATTCTTATTATTTCTAATGAGGGGATTCAGACATAAGGCTTCTGGGTGATATTTCAGCCATGCTGATTTCTCAAAGTATCACATGATATTTTGAAATGTCACTTGATACTTCAAAATATCAAAAAAGGGGCTGGTGAAATATCAAAACTTGCTAGCTTGCCTTAATTGTCTTCCCTTTGTCTCAATTACATTGACTTTTCTGAATCACTAAAATATCAAGTGATACTTCAGAAATTTGAAGGGGATAATAAAGTTTGAATGGAGATATTTGGAGAGGTGATATTTTGAATGATCGAGGATATTTGGGTTTCCAAAAACCAAAAATATTTGATATTTGGTAATCCAAAAGCATTAAGTATGAATCCCCTTAATAAAAACATTTCAATTTTTACTTTCATTGAATTATAGTCATAAGTTAATTCAACATTATTAGTATAAAATAAAATATGAATATATATATATATATATATATATATACGTTATTAATTCTTCTTATATATTATTCATTGATTTAATCTTTACTATGTAAAAAAAGTAGTGAATATTATATTATCACACATCCTACATGCAGTTCAAGTAATTGTTCCAACATTCTATACTTGAGATCCAAATTATGTTTCTTTAATCAAAATTTTGATAGTCATCTATATCATTAAGAGTAGGCATCACAACATGCAAATTTTGGCGTTCATTTGTTGTGTCAAAAATATACAAATATGCATACTCTAGCCAACCTTCTTAAAGAAACAAAGACCCTATTTGATGGTGAAGTGCTCCATAAATACAAAATTTATAAAGACAACCACCATGGTTTAGTGACTCAATATATTGACAACAAAAGATGTGAATGTTGACAACCAAAGATGTGTATGATAACAAAATATATTGACAACAAAAGATGTGAATGCCAATGTTAAGTCATATTTTCAAATGGCCTTACAAAACTTGAAAGAAGTCCCATCCATTGCTATTAGTAGAGTCTCTAATTTAAGTGGTATTGTAAAAATTGCTGACAATATTATCTTTCACTTACACAATAGAAAGAGAATAATGAATTGGATTGCAAAGACATTAAAATTTATCCTAAGAACCGCAACTTTGCCTTGTAGTTTTTACATTCAATATTCATATTCTTAATATTCTATTGTCTATGAGAATTACCATCAAAATTAACAAGTCTTGCAAATTGCAATAATGAATTTTACCATGCCAAACTATGGTCTCATATTGGTGTTAATTTTGACATTTTTGTTGCATGAATAAAATATAATGTTGGGCTTGAAATTCACCAATAGATAATATATACCATCCATCAAATCAAATCTCTAAAGGAAATGATATTCCACAACTTTTTTTTAATTCTCTCAATTGAAGAATGTAAAATGCGTAAGTGTTTTACAATCATACCAATCTCTTTTAAATTAAATGATTCTCTAATATTTTCTTTTAAACTTAAATTAAAAAAATATATATGAATAAAGGTGTGTCACATACATATACATTTACCTCAATAATTACTTATATGATTAGGTAGAAGTAGGTAAATATAGATTAATTTCATAAAGTCTTCTAGAGTAGCTTTTTAGAAGCTTCATAGATGTGGTTTTGACTTTAGATGTGTTTGTAGATTGGAAACATGGCTAACAAGTTAACCACATGTTGGTAGCTTGTCGAACAAGTTAACTCCATATAGAAGCTTGTAGAACAAGCTAACTATGTGGCACATACATAGATAACTTGCCTTGCAAATTAAGACATATAGCTAGCAAAGTCAACATGTTTTGAAGGTCCTATAGGACATTGCTACATAGCTTCTAGTTAAGAGTATATATGGAGGCAAGAGTGAAGCCTTCTTCACTCTATCAACAATATTCTAGTCCTTAGTCTTGTTTCAAGACTTTCTAGTCTCCTTATTTTTTGTAATAGCCATTCCAGTTAATATTACATTACCTTTTGAGTGACTTTTTAGTTCTCTTCAGTGACACAAGAGTATATCGAGGATTTTCTTTCTTTAAGATTCATGTCCTTGACAATTTGAAAAGAGTAGTAACATATTATTTCTATCTTATTTTAGAAGTGAGTGGATTACTCCAATTCTATTGTTGTATTTTGAAGGTTGTGGACTATCCACCTTTTAAACAAAAAAATCTTATTTTCTAACATTGATCTTTCCTTAAAGACTAGATTACTCTTCTTTGTGGAAATTTTTATTAGAGGTTGAGGATTATCTTCATCTAATTTAAGTATTTGAATTTGTTTGAGATGACTATAGAAGGAAAGATTATGGATGCTACTTCTAGCAAAAGTGAGAATAGATTTGTAACTATTGGAGATCTTCATGAACTTGTCAATACTCTTAGAGTAGAAATCTCACGTATTTTTAACGTGAATCATGGAGGTACTATGCTTATACCTATGGAAGAAGTTCAAAGTCTATGCTAAGAAGTAGTACAATTGAAGGAAGCAAGTAGATCGACTTCACAACCAAATCCAAGGAGTTTTGCTTCTACAACTATAATGGAGATAAGGATTAGTATGCCTGAGAAGTTTGATGCAACAAGTTCAAAATTTTGAAGATTTTTGCAACAAGTCAAGCTCTATCTAAGATTGCACTCTTTCCAATACCTTGATGGATTTACTCAAGTTGGATTTATAGACGCACTTCCATTAGAAAGTGCTCTCTCTTGGTTTGTATCTTTAATAGAAAAAAGATTTGTGACTCCTTTATCATTTGAATTCATTCTTAGAAGTATTTACAGCCACATTTGGAAAAAGTGATCGAAAACAAGTAGCAGAGACCAAACTCTTATATTTATGATAAGGATAATAATCAACCACCATATATGGTGCTGAATTCCAAAATCTTGCTTACAATGTGGACTAAAATGATAAATCACTTATCAATCAATTTTGATATGGATTGAAGGATAGTGTCAAAGATTTATTATTAACAATGCCAAAACAAAATCTTTGAAATAATTCATTGCTCAAGCCATTGCATGCAATAATCGATTATTTGAAAGGTGTTAAGAACAAAGACTTGACTAAAAAGGAACAAGTCAAGTAACAGCAATAACTTCCAAGTTTTCTAAAACATATTTATCAAGGTTGGAATTAATATAAATTAATACGATACGATTTAAACCTCTTACGGATCAAAAAAAGATTCAAAGTCACTAACAAGATTTGTATTTATATTCTAGAGAAGCTAAACACATTGCTCAACATTATCCAAAGAATCAATGTAATTACAAAATAAGGAGCACAATTATCAAAGTAGATAATGTGTTGAAAAACAAGTTTTTTCAGCTATAATAGAAATTGTGTCGCTGGAATCATGTGCAATACCTAATAAAGGTCCTATTCTCTCCTCAGATCCTTCACCTTATTTTATAATAGATGTATTTTTGGGACCTAAAAATCACAAAGTCTTTGCCTTATTAGATTCATGAGCCTCAACCCATTTTATAGACAAAGATTTTGTCAAAAATCAAAAAATAACTTTAGTCAAGAAAACCAAACATGTACATATAGAAGTTATAGATGGTCGTTTGTTGTCTTCTAAAAATATTATCCATGAGACTATTCCTTTAGATGTAGCAATTAAAGAATATAATAGTATAATAATATTTAATATAATAAGATCTCTCTCTGATTCAATTATTTTAGGATTATCATGGCTAGAAAAATATAATCTTCAAATAGATTGAATTTTTCATAACCTTAACTTTTTTGGTAATATAATCCAAGATTGAGTTAGTGAAGTAGAAATATAAAAGTCTATTACATCCAAACCTTTACTAGTAGGTGCAAGAGCTTTCATGCATGCTGCAAAAAAAGAAACATCTTTTGCTATATATGCTAAGTCCATTTCTAATGGTGAAAAAATATCAAGTGATATTCCTAGCCAATATCAAGAGTTTCAAGACATTTTTGAAAAGAAAGATGCAGATATTCTTTGAAAGTATCAACCTTATGATTGTTCAATTGATCTACAAGAAGCAGTTCAACCACCATTTGGACCAATCTATAGCTTATTGCAGAATGAGTTGGCTACATTAAAGGAGTACATTGATGAGAACTTAGCAAAGAACTTCATACACCATTCTAAATGTCCAATCGAGGTTCCTATCTTATTTGTGAA